CCCCCCCCCCCCGTCTCTCTCAGGGACGTGCCGACACGGAGCACGCTCTCGTCAACCGTATTCTCCTCGCCGCCGCTCAGCGCTGGCGCACCGGCCGCCTCCGCGCGGGCGTCCGGAGATGGAGGATCGCTTCCGATGCCGTTCGGTCGGAGAGGGAGCTCGTCCGCTTGCGGGCCGCCAAGCTCGGGTCGGTGTCCGCGTTCCTAGGAGGCGGTTCGGGAAGCCTGAGGAGGACCCCGAGGATGGACGTCGCGCGGGCGTTCGGGACCTGGGTGCGAGTGGCGGAAGGCCGTAAGGTGGGTGCGTGGGTGGCTTGTTTTGTCGGTTGTTTGCTCGCCTGTTGTTTGTTTTGTGGTTGTGTCTGTGATGTTTGGTTGGCCTCGTGGTCGTTTCGCTGTGTGTACGTTCTTGTACACGTTTTTGAGCTAATGGTAGAGGCTGTAATAGTCGCTCTTTGCCAGGTGTGCCCGTGTTGTTTGTCGCCCGTTGCCCTCCCCCCCCCCCCCCCCCCCCCCCCCCNTTTCCCCCCCCCCCCCCCCCTCCTTGGGGGTAACACCAATCCACCAAACCTACCGCATCGAGCCGTCTCAGAGCGCGTGACACGCCATAGGATTCAGCCCCCTCGCTCACCGCTTTCGCCTGTTCCTCTACTTCTTTCGTGAACCATGATCTTTCCGCGGCTCTAGGTCGAGTCCCTCAAGAGCCGTCAGGGGGCGCGTATCCTCCTAGGCGTGCTCCGTTTCTCGCGAAGAAACGCCCTCGCTCGCGCGGTAGGCACATGGCGCTCGGCCGCCGAACGGATAGCGCGAGTGGGCCGGTGCGTCCACAACCTGGCCCTTCGGACGGCCCACAGGCAACGCTTGTTCCTGCTGGGGAAGGCTTGGGCGCGAATCGCGTGGGCTGCGGGGGAGCGGGAGGCGGCCCGGGCGCGGCAGGTGCGGTGTTGTAGCGGACTCCACCTGTCTTTTTTCTATACCAGGAATGTTTGGATAAGATACTGCCTGTTCGCCCCGCTTTCGCGTCCTGGTGCAGTACAGCAAGGACTCTGCCTTGTTGGTATAGTTGCCAAGATTATTTTGGAATCCGGGTCTATCGTGTTTATATCCATGTCACCCCAGAACGAGGCCCATGTGGCGGTGGAGGTTTCCCTCTTATCCATAGTGCGGAATACCGTGCACTTGTCACCACTGACTTGCCGCCAACTACTCTGAAGATCATTACTACGCCCCCCCAGACCGTGTGCAAGTTCGTCGTGTATTTCCCGAACCTTCTCACGTACTAGTTCCGACGGTACATCCGGTGATACCGACCCTTCTTTTGCCGATTCTGTTCTTGTTAGCGGGGTGCTGCGCGCGTCTTTCATAGCCTGGTGGCGTCATCCGCGCGGACCTCACGCTGCAGAGCCTGGACCCGATGGAGAACAGCCGTCGCCGAGAACGCCGTAGCCGGCCGCTTGCGCGGCGCGCAGCGCCGCGCCCTCCGGCGGTGCGTCCGCTCCCGCCTGCTGCGCGACACGGGAGCGGCCTGGGGGGAAATGCGCAGAAATTTCCTACGGTCCCGCGCCCTGGTGTCCGGAGCCGCCCGCCTGGACTGGTTCCTGGTCAGGGCGCGGCGGCGAGCGGTGTCTCGGCGGCTGGGGTCGTGGCGGACGGCGGTCCTCGCGGGCGCGATCGACGAGCGCCGGAGGGAGAGCGTCCGGGGCAGGAGGCACGCGGCGGCGAGGCTGTTGGGGTCGGCGGCGGCGCGGGTGAAGCGGAGGCGGCTGGAGGGCGGGTGGCGCGCCCTGGCGACATTCGCGGAACGGGCGCGCCGGGCGGAGGGGGAGGCCTCGGCGAGGTCGAAGCACGCGGACCGTCTGGCGCGCGCGGCGGCGGAGCGGTCGAGGAGGCGGGTGCTAGCCCGGGCCTGGCGGGCTTGGAGCGAAGTCCTGGCGCAGCGGCGGCTGCAGGGAGCGGTGGGCGCCGCGACGTCGTCGCTGGAGGAAGAAACAGCTTCGTTGGCAAGGCAGGTGCAGCTTCTGAGGCTGTCCGGGACTGTCCGGGTCATTTTTTCCGCCGCCGAACGGTCGAACAGGTGTGTACCGTGCTTTTGTTGGCTATTCCGGGTTCGGATTGTTCGTTTAGCACCGGGGTTGAATGGGAGGCGGTGGCAGGGTTTCAGAGTATCGCGTGGACGTTGTGTCTGGGCTTCTGTGCTATGCTATCCCGCGGGGCAAGACGCATCAAAGTTTGTGTTTTCTGTGGAAATATTTACCGTTTTGGTTCGTTCACAGCGCCGAGTTGTGGCTTGCTGACGCCCAAAAGCATTTTTGTATCTCTCCGTGCCTCCATCCGGCTGTAGATTTTCGCGTGTTTGATCGATGTCATCGTTGCTCGTTTGTCGGGGTTGTTCTGTTGGTGTTGGGCCTCAGCAAGCTACTCGCTGCACTTGCATCTCATGGTAGCTGCTACGGGGAAGATGATGGGATGAACAAGACCAACACTTTTGTAACGATACATACTGCGGTGACCATGGGTTGAAGTGACAAGAGGAAACAAGCGACAACCAAACGCGTTCAATCTACTGACGTTGTCATCTGCCCTCCCTCCGCGCGCCCACGTGCCAACCCTCCGCTACACTCCCTCACCGATCATCGATCTCGAAAAAAAGGGTTCTGCTGCAGAGAGGCTGGCGGGGGCTCCGCGAGGCATCGCAGCGGCGAGCCGTCCTCCTCCGCGTGGTGGGTATCTCTTCCCGCGCCCGCTCCCGGCGCCTCATCCTCGCCCTCAACCGCTGGCGCCTGGCGACGAACGACGCGCGGACGGCCCGGCTGAGGGCGGGGGCCGGGCGGTCCGTGCTGGCGGCGTGCCTGGCCGGGGCGCGTGGCCGGGCCATGCGGCCCGCGTGGGAGTCCTGGTGCGAGCTCGTCACGAGGGAGAGGGGGGAGGAGGACGACTTCGCCGGACGGGAGGAAGGGCTCCTCGCCTTCGCCTCCGTCATCTCGAGGGTCGGCAGGCGGAGGGACCGGGACCGGAGACTGCGGGCGTTCGAGCAGTGGAGGCTGGGGGCGGCGCGCACGGCCGCGACCGTGGCCAGGCAGCAGGCCACGAGGGGAGACGAGGTGGTTAGGGCTGTCGAGGTGGAGAACGTGAGTGTTTTGTGCTTGCTGTGGCGGAGCGGGGGGGGGGGTACTCATAGTCGTGCATGCCGTAGTCGTTAGACCATTGACCTCGCATCCCTACAAAGCCGGGACGGAGCACGCCGGGTCTCTTCGGACCAGGCTCTCACATCACCAAGCGCGAAGCGCCGTGAGATATTCGGCGAGTCGCATGAAGGGTGCGCTGCATCCTGCTAAGGGTGTTCGGCATCTTGTGCTTACTTCCTTGCGTACGGATGACAGCTGCGTATGACTTAATTTATTTTCTTGTGCTTTCGCTTTCAGGGACAGTTGTAAGCACTATATAACTGCCTCGAGGGTGCTTGACCACTTTAACACAACGTGGTGCGATCATCCCCCTTGCGCGGAGTGAGGG